ATAACATTTTTGATAACTGTAGGATAATAGTTTTAAAAGAAATGGGAATGCAATTCCCATTTACATCTCGCGGCTCTCGGTTACCACCTACGGCCTCGTGAAAATTTTAACGGATAAACTATTAACTCGGGAATCACGAAAAGATATTCATCCTTCAAGGTTTCGAATTCAGTTTTCATACGCTGGTGCGTGAAATTTTTGTCTGGTTTTCAGATACTCCTTCAAGGTTTCGAAATCAGCTTTCATACGCTGGTGCGTGAAATTTTTAACTGTTTTTCAATGTTAGAACTATTTTTGCATAGACTAAAGTACAAAGCAGTGAAAATCATTAATAGGCAATCGTTCGATGGGTATTTTTGCATAGACTAAAGTACAAGGAAGTGAAAATCATTAACAGGCAATCGTTCGATGGGCTGAATTACACAAAACGCATGATCGCACCGGCTAGTCTGGTGCGCGCCATTTATTTCAATTCGCGCACTGGTACAAACCTACGGCCACTTATTTTTGTGCAAAATACGGGTAAATTTCTTTTTAACGACTGCTAGAAATGGTAAAATAGTGCCAAAATTCTTACAATTCGCTTACTGATAAAAACCTCGGGCAAGTTATTTTTATACAAAATGTGGGTAAATTTCCAGTAATGGCTCTGGCAGTGATAACAATCAGACCAAAATCCGGTAAATTCTTTGATTCCAAACCATAGTTGGTACTGAATCGGATTTAAGGAACGTTCTATCCAAGACAGCAGGCAGTAAGGTGCAAAAGAGATGGAAACTCGTTCCTACCCATTAATTTTACTTTATTTTTTTTTTTCAGCCGTTGTGGAACACCAGAAGATGTGAAATATCTTGTGGACAAAGCGCATGAAGCCGGCATATTTATACTGCTTGATGTAGTCCATTCACATGCATCGAAAAATGTGGATGATGGGCTAAATGAATGGGATGGTACCCAGAATAGCTATTTTCATGATAACTCACGCGGTTATCACAGTCTCTGGGACTCACGGCTTTTTGACTACACACAGTTAGTTTTTCTTCCTTTTTTTTTTCCAAATTTTGCATTCCTGAATAACTAGCCTAGCTTCGCCTGAAGTCTAGAAGCATCCCAGTAACTTCACTAACACGGGCTCTTTACGCCGATTGCTCGGGCAGTCTTGGTATTCTTGGTTCGAGCATTTTATGTTTTTTTCTTGAATCTTCAAAAATTTTTGTCGGCACATCGTTGTAATCGTTTTGCTTGACGCAAATACATAGTAGG